CGCTCTTCCTACCTGATCCTACACCATCTGCATAGAAACAAGTGACCGCTGGAAAAACCTCTATTCCCACACCTGTGCTGGCAAAGAAGTATTTCCACCCGCAGCACTGGAGTAGTTGTTGGTGACACCCCTATTCCCAAACTCATTTCAGGTTCTCAAACTGTCCCCATAACCGAATCTCTGAGCATCTTGCAGTATTGCATTAAGCAACCCGACTAATATCTGTCACATTGGCTTGTTGCCTTTCTCTGCCCTTTGCCAGGAGACTAATTGTATGTATGGGGCAATTTTCTTTTTTTTGAAGCTGAGACTAGGGACCACGGGGAGGTTTTCTTGTAGGTAGGTTTGTATTCAAATGTCCATGCTGCCCGGGGCTTCCCTGAGGGAAGGCAGGTCTAAGGAGCGTGCTTTGTCCTTCAAGGGGAAGGTGCTGGGCTTTGTTCTTGCTGCCGTCTCAGGCCAGCTTGCTCAAAGTGTCTTGCACAGATGAGCTTTTCACAGATGAGCTTTTCTGCTCCTGGTAGAAAGCTCCATCGTGGAGTTGTTGAGCACAGTCTGTGTCCCGGCATGTTTGATGACCGGGCCATTGCATGAGCAGAGATATAAACGGAGGCCCGAACATATGACCTGAGACAGTGCCCTAGCTGACTGGAGAGGACAGAAAGCATTGCTCACAGATGTTTCCATGTGAGAGATGAGCTTGGACCAGGAATCTGGAAGCCTCTCGTATAATGAAATGAGTTGGTTAATTGTGGGCATGCACTTTGCACCACAGGAGACTGTGCGGTGACTGCAAACTCTTCAAGCGGTTCACGCTGCCCAGCGGTCGTGGTTAGCTGGAGGCTGCGCGTGGCAGAGGCCGCAGGGAGCTGGGAATCAGCTGCATGTTGTTGGCACTTGAGCTTGTTGCTTCAGGAGCTCACCCGAGTAAAAAATGTGCCGTTATAAACAACAATAAGGGGCTACAGATTTATTTGCACGTGCACTTTGAGATGTTGACAGAAAGTCTTTGACCTTGAAGGTTAAGTATGTGCGGGGAGTAGAGGAGGGAGATTGTCTTTGCATTATGAGCATCTTTAGAAGTCACCAAGCTTACAGTCGGTGCGCTGTGTAGGGTGCCAGCCCTGCTCTCCAGGCAGTGAGCTGGACACAGCCCTCAGGAAATGTAATAGTCAATAAAGGCATTTAAAAATCTACGTGGAAATAAGTGGGAGAGCAATAATATCAGGGCCAGAGGAGGTGGCCGGGCGGGGGGGTGTTTATAACAGCTGCCTCATTAGCAGCAAGCAGATGCCCACATGGAAGAGTCAAAAGGTCTGTGGGGCCCCAAGCAAGGCACCTCGGCGTATGAAGCGGTCAGGTGCAGGGAAAGCAGGACCGAGTCGTGGCTTCTGTGCAGGGCAGCAGCAGATTAGGAGGATGCACTTTGCAGGACCCCTCTGGTCCCTCAAAGTAACCCCTGTTATCCTGAGACTCCCCGGGAGAGCACAAGTTCGTCCTTCCTGCTGCGCGAGTGGTGCTCGAGACAGAATAAGCCGTCTTGTGCATTTGTCTGTCGCCGAGACAAATTCCTGTTTTCCCTGTTCAGCGGTCGGTCGCCAGGGGGTGCCAGGACAGCTCTCTCTCGGCAGCAGCTCCTTGGCCAGACCCGTTTCCCCAGGAGCGAAGTGTTGTAACCCCAGCAGGAAGTGCCGGGCTATTCAGCCTGCTTCCCTGGTAGGTGCCCTTCACCTGGGCCAGGCCCAGGGGGTCTCTGCAGCCTGGACGTCTCTGTGCAACTCTGGGGAGGGTGAAGGATGACCTTTTGGCTAAGGGCCTGCCTGTTATCATGGGGCTTCAACCCGAGGTCCTGTTGGAGGCTGCAAAAAATACTAGCCGTCACTCCTGCCCGGCCGTTTGGACGGCCTGCGCCTGGGGTCAGTCTCTGCGGGTCTGGGAGGGGGAGCAGCCAGACAGCCGGCATCCTTGTCGACAGGCTCTTCCGCCGCTCCTCCTCCCTGTCTGCGAGCTCTCCCTGCCGCCCCCAGCATCCATGTGTCTCCGTGCACAGCGGGAACAGACTGTGCCGTCTTCCTTCCCCGGGCAGCACCCTGCATCCCTGCAAGTTGTGCTCCTGCCCGCTGCCTCCCAGCCCCTGCCCCGCTCTCTGCACGGCTGTCTGTCTGGGGCGGCGGATGCTGCGTGCGGAGCTTGTGGGTCCGCAGCACACGTCCAGGGCAGCCAGACCCAGTGGGGCTCGCTCGGGGAGGCCTGGGGCTTTGTAAGGAGCAAACTCCTCTGGCAGGTGATGTGCGAGGAGGGAGCATTAGCAAGTCTCTGACAATCCTGGTCTGTCACTGGAGCCGGCGCAGACTCTCCCCCGATGCGCAGTTATCTGCAGGCCTGTGCTTTTTTTCTTGCTCGGTGCAGCGGTTTCTCCCATTCGGGGCAGATGAGAGTTTTCCTGCCTGGCATGAATCCTTCACGTTCAAGGTGGGAGTATCCTGGTAGTAACTGGAGACCCCGATGACTTTGTTGCCTCCACTCTCTGCAAACCCCCTTACTTGTACAGGACCCGGCCCCAGGGCCTCTGTCCCGGAGATGCCTAGCGCCCGGTTGTGACGCTCGGGGGACGATGCCTTTGGGCACGTGGGCATTATGCTATGGCAGTGCAGTGACATCAAAGGGAGGCGCTGGAAGCAGCCACCAGCCTTCACCTGGTGAGCGGCATGTGGGAGTGTGGGATTCCCGGGTGCGTGTGCACACGGCTGAGCCGTGGTGCACGGACACGGCGCTCCTCGCTGCTGGCGTTGGGAGCCACAAGGCAGTCGGAGGGAAGGGTCCTCTTGCAGTCTCGCAGGCTTCATAGCAATAGCGATAGCAATCTTCAAGGGCCAGCGCTGTTCTCACTGTTGGATGACTGCCACCGCCGGGGTCGATCTGCCTTCTGGGTGCCACCCTCCGCGGTGGTCTAGGAGCCCCGGGGTCGCCCACCTCCCTGTCAGTGCGAGGGTCCTGCGACCTGCTGGCCCGTTGACTCCAGAGAGATGCTTTCCTCTCTGCCTGCGCATCTCCTTCACCGCCCGCCGTGGGGTCTGGGTCAAGCCACCTCGTTTTGTCCTCATTGTGTCCCGTTTGCTGTTACTGGACCTGTCATCCCCTCGTCTGTGTTTCGTTGCAGGAGCCGCTCCTGGGTGCGGAGCAGAGACGGTCCAAGGGGGCGCAGGGAGACGGCACGCCAGGGCAGCAGCCGCAGCTGGTGAGAGTGACCGCCAGCAGCACGGAGCTGCCCGTCAGCATTTCCAGCCTGGTGATGCATGCCCACAGCACCCTGCCCCAGGTGAGGCTCCAGGAGGGCTTTGCCCTTTTGCTCGGAGCTGCATGCAGCTGTGCGGGGGGCAGCTGCACCGTTCACTCTGCCAGTCAAATTAAAGCAGCAAAACTTTTAAGTCCAGACAAGCCTAAGGAAAGGAGACGACGAGCTGTGCGGTAAAGCCCCTCTGGCCTGGGCGAGGGCGGAGGCAGGCGGAGCAGAGCTAGGTGCTTGCGTGCACAGAGGTGCAGTCCCAATCAGCGCTGGTTCAGGTGTGGCAGGTAGCACCCATTCGGTTCTGGCGCTTCTCTTCCTGGCACCCACAACGGTGTAATTTCTGCCCTTTATTTGCCGCTTCCCCGCCCCTATTGCCTGTGATGTTCATTGGACTAACGCGCCGTTTTCTAACGTGGGCAAAAGGAGAAAAGAGCGTGGTTATGGATGGGGGTACGGAGAGGTATTGAGGCCGACGGTCCCGTTTCTGTATAGGTCACCGCTCAACTGACCTTGCAAACCTGTACCCAGTTTTCATTGGGATAACTAAAACTGCTGCTTCCTTGTGAGGGCCAGCTGAACCCCAGTCCCCCCTCGAGTCTCTGCCGACTCAAAACCCTCCGAGGGGATTTCCTGGGAGTCTGCCCCAAAGCTGAGCGTGCGAGTGCAAGGCTGTGCAGTGTTTCCATAGCAACCCACACTTGTGCTGGGGAAGCATTTTCCATCCCGGCCTCTTCCTACCAGAAGTACCCTTCGTTCGGGCTGGCGGCGCGTCTTGGAGCCGGTTTGCTCAGCGTCCATGTGACGTTTTGTAGGCGTCTGAGAGAGGCGACGAACAGGGTTTTCAGGCAGAGGAAATGTAGATGGTGTCCCTTCTCGTACTCGGTAAAACCCCGATCGTATTGTTTTTAAAACTTCAGTCTTGTCCTGGAGCGAGGAGAGCGCGGAGAAATGGTGAGATGAGATTAGGGGGAGTCGAGAGAGACGGCGAGCCATGGAGGCAAGGCACCGCGGCGCAGGATTTTCAGCTTGTGCCGCATCCCTGTTTTCTGCTGAACTTTTCAAACAGTGATGTCCAGGGGAGACTTCGCACCTCTCACATCTGTGCCTTTAAATGTCATTTATTTATGGCTCTGCAATGTAAACCGCCCGTTTCTGCTGTTTCCTCACTCCCTGCGCTAATGCAGCGCGGAGCCTGGATGCCGGGGTTTCGCTTTTTAGATACCAGTGAAGGAGAGCTGCTCGGTGCCTTTCCTGTGAGTTGACAGGAGTGTAGTGAATTGAGTTGGGCAAAGTAGAAAAAAACATGAAAATATTCAAAGTTACAGTCCTTTTTCCACTTTTTCAAAATGTGTAACTATAGAAGTTTTTCTAAAAACTCCTAGGTTTCGTTTCCTTCTTTTCCTTTTTCCTTTGTGCCATTGAGTGCAATGAAAGAAATGGCATTCAGCATTTTTTCCTGGTCTGTCATTTTTTTTTACTTTCCTTTTCCTTTTCTTAGTCTATAACTTTTCTAAACTTCTCCAGCTTTTTAAAAGTTCCAGCATGGTGAAATCACAGTTTCATTGCTTTTTTGTTCTGCATACAGCAGAAAAAGAAAAAATGA